ACCACTGAACACAGTCCACAGTAAAAGTAAACCTGAGTAACATAATTAATAGAATTCAAATAACAACTGAATAAACAAGTAACAAGCAATGAAATATTCAACCATATAAAATATAATACTGATGTTCCCTTAAAGAAATTATTATATATCCAATAATGGCCAAATTTGATGAAGTTTTTAATGGCATTAACTTAACAGTATTTTGTAAGTATCTAAATTTAGTAAAATCATTTCAAAATTAAGGATATAGTGCTCAACATGTAAATAGAATAAAAAAATAATAACATAATTTACATTAGAGAATTTTAAAAAGGCAATGAATGTTTAATGTGTAAAAACTGAGAGGAAAAATAATACATCAAAAAAGATATTAATAGACCAGCAAGACAGTTCAGCCGACTAAGTGCCTGCTTAGGCAAGCACAGGGACTGGGGTTCGATCCCCATATCCGTGCCCTGCCGGCCCCGCCCCCGGGGCACACTGAGCCGGCCACCAAGTCCAGGCATGGTGGCACGTGCCTATAATCTCAGCACTGGGAAGGCTTAAAGTGGAAGGATCACTACAACTGCAAGCTGAGTAGTGAGACCCTGTACCTGTTTCAGAGGCAATGTCAAGATGAATAGCTAATACATACTGTTGAACTATTAGAAGAAAAACAGAAAGTTAAAGTTTTAACTTTATTGCTTGTGCGCTGCTTATAGAAGGTACAGGATTTTTAATAAGTGAAGGACTGACCACAGTTCTCTTCCTTCTTTCCTCATCATATTCTCTCCCAGGTAGAGAGAAATCACAAACTTTGTGGCAAGCTGAGCCACCGAATGGGTCAGCGAGAGCAGCACACCTAGGCAGTTCTGACTGAGTCCCCAAAAATATTTCTGGATAATGTTCCCTTTATAGACATCCTAATTCTTTGTTTTTAAAACACAATTTGATTGAGATAAAACTCAGATGTCATAACATTTCTCTCTCTCTCTCTTTTCTATTTATATATTTGGTACGGGGTCTCACTACACAGATCAGATTCTAGTGATCCTCCTGTTTTCAACCTCCCCAGTGCTGGGATTACAGGCGTGTGCCACCACCCCTAGACTTGGTTACTGGCTCAGCGTGCCCTGGGGGCAGGGCCAGTAGGGCATGCATGACCAGGAATCAAATCCTCGTCCCTGCACTTGCCAAAATAGGCGCTTAGTCCTCTGAGCTATCTCACTGGCACCCAACATTTCTCTTTTTAAAGTGTGAAATTTGCTAGTTTTTAATGTATTCACAAAGTTGTGCAACCATGATGCTATTTTAAAACGTTTTCCTTATCCTAAAAAGAAACACAGAGCTCATTAGCAGTCCCTCTACATTCTTCCCCTTATATCGCTAGCCTTATGTGTCTCTATGGATCTGCCTATTTTGGACATTTCACATTAATGCAATCATGTCATATGTCTCCCATTGTAAATTATTTCACTATTTTTGGAAAACATTATGATTTACCTAAAATACATCAATATTCTGTAATGTTTCAAATTAATTGCAGTACTTTTCCTCTTCTTTTTCCATTACCTTTACCTCACAAATAATTCCAAATATCCATACTAGCTCCTACTGAATAGAATGATGTATTGCAGATTTGTAAGTTTGCTGACAACAGACTGTGACTTCCAAGAACAATGAAAGCAGCCTAGTTGAACTTCAGCTGGCTTGGAAAGGGACCTGGCTAAAATATGTTTAAATATACAGATGTTTTGTGCATTATCCTCTGATTACAGAGCAAGACAAATTGTGCTTTCTTTGTGCATTACCTATATATTAAAAACAGCATCCATTTCCTTCCTGATGTAAAGCTGATCCTTAAACTTAAACCCATTCACATTTGTATTGGAGAACAATCAATTTTTGGAAGTCTATTAAATATATAATATTTAACACTTTGTTTCAAAAATAAAAATTTTACAAGAATCTAAAGATTTATTTTTCTTCTTAAGAATTTTAAAGTAAATATTATGGAAATGGTTGTAATGGTAATTTTTCTTTTGCTATTTTATAGAGTAGGTTTTTCAAAAATGAGCTTAAAAGCTGAAAACTCCCATGATAATCTTGAGGGAATAAGTTTAATGAATAAAGGTAGAGTGAGTAGTGAGTTACTTTACAATAGAATTTATAATAAGTCTTACTTTGTAACCCTTCACAATTTTGCAAGATAGAATTTTTAGTGGGTATTTGGAAAGCTTTAATTTCTGGTAATAATGCATTTTTACATTGGCATGGTTCATATGTTTTATGTCTTTCCCAATAAAACTGTATGTAAAGGACTTTCAGTTAATACACTAGATCTTGGAATGATGAAGTGTTCACAGTAACCGAGTAGAAAAAGCATAAACTCTAGAGTCAGTTAACTTCTATTCAAGTCTCAGTCCCGTGCCTGCCTGATGGTCTAACATGGTACAAGTGTTTTAATTCCCTCAACCACAAAGAGAGATTTTTAGTAGCTAATCAACAAACCTGTTGTGAAAATGAAATGAAATGTCTGTATATAAAGCTAAATATAAAACCCTTGGCACATGGTAAGTACTTAAGAGTTCATCCTCTGTGGCTTAATGATAGGTACAATGTGAAACAGGAGAGATAACTAATGAATTACTAAGCCACAAATCTTGGTTATAGTCTGTATGATTCAATGATTCTTCATGTAATAATCACATTTTACCTTCTCCTACTTACCTTAGAAAATAATAATTTTTACAAATTACAGAAATATACTCAAAGTCAGTAAATGTAAGGCAAAAATTATTGCATTACAATTTAATAGTTAACTCCTATCCAATATAGTTCTAGAAATATTAGCCAGAATAATTAAACAAGATAAATTAAAGGAGCATGGGTAGGAAAAGTAGAAGTTAAATTATCATTATTTGCTAATGACGTAATAATCTACATAAAAGACACAAAACCACTCATAGAATTAATAACCAAATTCAGTAGCACAGCAGAATACAAAGTCATTACTCAAAAGTTAATAACATTCTTGTACATAAATCATTGAGAGAGAAATCAGGGAAATAACATCTTTCACAATACCATCAAGAAAAACTAAGTTGTTAATAATCAGTCTGACAAAGTAAAAGACGTGTACAATGAAAATTGCAGGGCAATTGAAGAGGCTATCAGAAAATGGAAAGATATTCCCTGTTCTGTATTGTTCTATAGTTCTATACTTGTTATATTGCAGAACCATTGTAGTGAAAATGGCCGCACTTCTGAAACTGTTATACAGCTTTAATTAAATCCCATCAAAAGTCCATAGCATATGTTACAGAATAAGAGAAAGCAATCCTAAAGTTTATGTACAACCAGAGGAGACCTAGAAAGGCAAAGACAACCGCAAGCAACAAGGGAAAGATGGGGGGGCCATCATAATCCCTGAATTGAAATTATATTACATGGTGAAAGTAATAATAGCATGGTTCTGGCAAAGAAATAACCCCAATGATCAATGGAACAGAATAAAAGATGCAGAAACAACCTGGGGTTATAGCTCAGCAGCATGAGCACCTGCCAAGCAAGTGCAAGGTCCCAAGTTCTATCCCCGGTACTGCAAAAGAAAAAACAAAGTAATAAAAGATGCAGAAACACTTCCAAGCACATTCAGCTACCTTATCTTCACAGGGCCAAAACACCTTCACTTGAACAAATGTAGCTTTTTCCATTACTAATGAAGAGAAAACTGCCTTTCCACCTGCTAAAGATTGAAACTAGACCCATATTTTATCATGCACTAAGGTAAAATAAAGATGGATCAAAAATCTAAATATTAGGGGCTGGTGAGATGGCTCAGTGGTCTAAAGCACCTACTTAGAACAAGCTGAGCAAAGCACAAGGACCGCGGTTCAATCCCCCAGCACCACATGCCAGCCAGCCCCAACCCCTGGTGGGCTGAGCTGGCCACACACACACACACACACACGCACGCACACAAATAAATAAATAATTTTTTTAAAAATCTAAATATTGAAAGAGAAACAATCTGCTGAAAGATAGATTAGTTAAAACACGTGAAGACATAGGTATAGGCAAATATTTTATGAATAAAACACCAGTTACACAGGAAATATTACAACGAATCAACAAGTTGGATTATATCATATTAAAAAAAAAAAAAACTTTTGCACAGCAAAGGAGACCATGAACAGAGTAAAGAGACAGCCTACCAAATGGGAAAACTTTTTACTACTACTCCTCCTCAAACAACTAATATCTAGAATATATAAAGAATTTCTGAAAATCAGACTTCCCAGATTAAAACCTAATCCAAACATGAACGTCTGAAATGAACAAACTTTTCTCAGATCACAAAATACAAGCAGCTAATAAATATATGAAAAAATGTTCAACACCACTGGTCATTTGAGAAATGTAAATTAGAACAACACTGAAATTTCAACTCACTCCAGAAAGAATCTCTGTCATCAACATATGAACCAATAACAAATGCTGGAGGGGTTGAGAAGGAATCCTTCTCCACTGTTGATGAGAGTGCACATTAGTACAACCACTTTGGTACAGCACGATTTCCTGGAAATCAGCATGAAGATCCATCAAAACACTAAACCTAGAGATTCTATTTGACCCAGCTGTGCCCCTTGGAGGCATCTTCTTGAGTGAATTAAAAGCATTATGCCACCATGATGTATGCATACCTTGTTTATAGCAGCACATGTTTTAGAAGCTAAATCTTGGAAACAGCTCATATGCCCACCAACAGCTGAATAGAGAAAGAAAATGTGGAATACATGTACAGTGGAGTATTCTCCTGCCATAAGGAAGGACGAGTTTGAGTTGGGTTGAGGTAAATGGATGCACCTGGAAACCATAAGGTAGAGTGAAATAAATCAGACACACAAGTTTAAAAAATTAGTAGTTAGATAATAAATGTTTCCTCTCACTAAATTTTTTAATTAGCAAACAGAGGAAAGATGAGTTCTTTATATATGCTTTCTCTTTATCTCTGCCAGGGTTATCCAGGTGACTTTGGGGACAGAGGCCCTCCAGGTCTTGATGGCAGTCCTGTGAGTACATGGCTCAACCTTGCACTGTAGCATCATACGTCTCCTCAGAGCACTGAACTTGCCATTTGTGTCATTACGTTTATGAATAAGTCCTGTCATTCCATTGTCTGCCACTATGGTTTGGGATGGTGAACAAGTGCAATAAGCAAAAAGTACTTAGAAGTAACTCCATCATGATGTGTAGTCATCAGAATTATTTTATAAGCTCAAATAAAATATTAAAAATACATGATGCACATGAAAGTGCTAACAAATCTCATATAAAAAGTGTATTCTCAAGCCTATCGTTTACCCATCTTAGTTCTTACTGTTTTATGGAGTTTTCTGCTTCAGGATCATTCAAGTGTTGACATTCAGTTTGGTGGAGAGTTGCCATTCTAAAATTAGTTTAATTACATTATGAAAAAATAATTCTTCTGAAGAGCATTTTGACTCTAAATCTCAGAATAAACTGAATATTTCTAGTTTATTGGCTCATGATTCCCTGTAATTTATACTATGCCTTTGTTTCAAAATTATTTGAAATGCAAAACAGGAGATATACTAGTCCCAATATTTTGTGTCAAATAAATAATGGGGCTCGGATATATTGTGATCTCTAACACAATGAAAACAAATATTATTTACATTTTTAAAGAAGACACATGAACGTTAAAGGATTTGGATATTATACTTCAGAAGAAGTGATAGTTTTATCCATCTGAAAATATTGTACCAATAGTGTATCTATACACTGAGCTCTTGTCTTTTCATATAATATATAGGCTAGTTATATATAATGCTAATCACTAATGACATTTACTTCCTTTGTTGAGTATGTACAAGGTATAGAGAAGTCTACATCCTAGGTAGATAGTAATCACTTAGAATGCAAAAGCATAGAGCAAAGTAGTCTTTTGAAGAACATAAGACATTTCTACAGATTTACACTTTACAGAAAGATGCACAAGAGTATACAAGTGTCAGAAGTTAACTGTATTAGGAGGTAAAATTTGATGTATTCTTTCCTAGAAGCCTTTGTCTTGATCTTCAGAAAGTACCTTTAGTAGTTGCAAATTATATTTAATGAATTTTGCACATTTCTTTTACAATAGGGACTCGTAGGTGGCATTGGCCCTCCTGGGTTTCCAGGGCTTAGAGTGAGTATCTCTAAATATTAATTCTTATGAAAGTCTTTATTGTATAATTTATATTTGTTAGGTATATTTTTAAATCTTAGAAAAATGAGAAGGTTCAGTGTCCTCATTGAATATCAGCTTTGCTCAAATTTGTTTTTCAGAAATAAAAATTAGACTAGTAATATAAAACATATTTTATGAGAAGGTAGAAAATTTTATTTCCATAGATTTATATGTATGCATGCTTTCATGCCTATTTCTTTAAAGGATCTTAGTCAAGATTCAGTTTCCTCAAAGGTTTAAGACATAGAATAGAGAATCTTCCATCCCATCATAGTTGGAGAGAAACAGACATGCACAAAAACACATGGTAACTGTGGCCTTTGACTTACAAAATAAATTGACTAAATGGTTAGAAAAGTCATCCTCAGGGCCAGCCAGATAGCTCAGTGAACTAAAGTGCCTGCTTAGGCAAGCTCAGGGACCGGGATTCAATCCCCTGCATGCCATGCCATGCTGCCACCCCCTCGGGAGCGTGCTAAGAGGACGACTGAGACTGGGCGCGGTGGCATGTGCCTGTAATCCCAGTGCTTGGAAGGCTGAAAACAGGAGGATCACTAAGAGTCCCATCTGTGTAGTGAGACTCTGTAGACCCTGTACTAAATACAAAAAAGAAAAACCATCCTCAATAAAGGTCAGAGGTAGGCTATACTAGTGTCATTAAACATTTTAATACCTAATTTATTACACTAAAAAGTACAAATGACTTTGTTCACTTACCCATTTTTTATACAGTAAAATCAGTTGAGGTCCATTGGTTTTTCTGATGTAGGTAAAGCACAGTTTAGCAAAAATAGTTCTGTGGGGGCTTAAGCAATGTGGTCCAGACATATAACCTTCTGAGGAATTTCAGCTCAGTCATTGGAGTGAACATACTGCTAGTTGCAATGTATTAATATTGTGTTAATAAATATATTCCAGTGAAAACTTCAAAATGGTTCTTTCAGCTAAAGAATCCTGTGATCAGAGACACAGAAAATGGAGAAAAATATGACTGTATGGGAAATGGACAGGAGTAGTGGGTTTATATGCTAGAAAGTAAGGAAACTGGCGAGCAAATTGAAAAGAGATTTTGAAAATAATTGAGAAGGATTATGAAAACCTTTTCTTTGTATGGACAGTTCGCTTGCCCAGAGATGTAACATCTGTCTTACCTCTTAGCTATTCCTTTCAGCAGGGAGTTTCTGATAAGAGATGCCATACACATTATTTTTTTTCCATAGAGTTAGCTGTTATTATTAGATGCTTAATTACATTAGTGGCAGTAATTGTCATCTGTTAGTATGGTAGATACAGCTTAAAATACCAGTGCAGACCCTGATTCCTTTCTAGAATATGCTCATAAGAACTATTATCAATTAGCCAGTGGCTTCAGCTTTCAGTATAATGCTTTGGGTCTATTTTTTAGCCTAATTTAACTCAAAATTTTTCTGTATTTCTAGTTCTTTTGTCTCTGGTATTATGTCCTAGAAACCTTCAACTAAGCTGTTGTGAATGAAAGCATTTCTTCCTTTCATTCCATTTTCTCATAAAAGAGGAGTGTGGTAGGTAGGGAAGGCTAAAGAATCTACAGGTTGCTTTTATGGACTAAATATTTTTCATAAGCTATAATGGCTTGCTTTGAGAAAGCAACAGTTTCTCAGGACAAGGACTTTCTACACAACTTGTGTGGTATGTCACAACATGCTGGTATTTCCTGGAAATTTCTATATATTACCAGTCAATCTTTAACTTAGAAGTTCTTGTTTTATGTATTTTATATCTCCAAGTTCTTAATTTTTATATTTTTTCCTTTCACAGTCATTGAAAAATATGACAGGATATTTTATAAACAACATACATTCATTTGAAAGATGCCAGATTAAGCACTGAAACAAGATTTAAGAATATTATATCGTCCATGGACAAAACTATAGTACAAAATGAGATTTTGGTTGTAAAAATAGCCTTTCTATATTTACATAGACTATTTTTGCATAATTCCCAAACAAATATTTATTGTTTTTTAAATCTGTTATAAGCCTTAAAGCTATGAACTTTGAATAAACTAGCCACTGTCATGATGGCTATCTCCTATTGACAGAAATTCAAATTACAAGGAATGATGTCTTAATGTTGCATATTTATTAAGTTGGAAAGTATTGCCCATTCCCTCTGACAGACCCATATATTTCAAGATTAAACATGTTGGAAGTAATTTGTCTTAGTTATATTTCACAGACTTTAAGACTCATCCAAATGTAAAGTTGTCATATTTTCCATTATTAATTTTGTATTGTATGAATGTAGACAGTGAGGCGCACTCTGGGATCTAGCCGAGCACAACAGTGTGTGCCTGAAGGCCCATCTCTTGGGGAAGGTGATACGAGAGAATTGCTTAAATCAATAATCTTATGAGGATATTAAAGAAGTGGTGAGACTCATCTCAGGAAAGGGAATGATGGAGGAAGAGGAAAGCAGCATTGTGGTGGGAGACAGAAATTGGTTTAAAATTTTATTTTTAAGTTAATTAATTCCTTGAGTATTCATTCCACACTTTATTTTAAAGCTAGTATGTGCCAGTTATTATGTTGAGACTGGGAATTTTTAAAAAGTAAATGAAAACATAGTTCTGCTCTCGCAGAATGCGTAGATTAGGAAGATGGCCAAAGGGCAAGTCTGTTACAGTAAGGAGGAGAGCACAGAGCACTCCAGTGCTAGTAACTGTACCTTCAAAGCTCAAAGCACATGAAAAGGGAGAGCACGGTCGAAAATGGAAAGCATCTCATTATGTATGGCATGTAGTACTTGGAGGGAGAAGAGTGGGGAGCAGGAAGGACAAACAGAAGAAGTGGGAAAGGTTGCGAGGAGCCCAACAGGGCTTGTGATATGAACCTAAGAGATTTGGACTCCAGGTCTGGGGAGATAGCTCAGTGGTCTAAGCACCTGCCTGGCAAGCTCAGAGATCCAGATTTGATCCCCAGTACTGCATGCTTTGCCAGCCTATGTGTGATGTCGATCCAGAAACGGGGTGTGGTGGTGCACGCACGCAATCCCAGCACTAGGGAGCCTGAGATAGGAGGATCACTACAAGTCCAGGCTGCGTAGTGAGATAATGTATCAAAAAACAAACACACAAAAACAATTGGACCCTTATGAAGAAGGAGGACATTTTCAGCATTTTGTGAAAATAAATATTTTCCTTTGAGTTTGGGTCTCATTGTTGTCCAGGCTCCAGACTGGCCTTGTCCCCTTGGGCACAAGCTGTTCTCCTGCTTCTGCTTTCAAAACAGCTGGGACTATAGGTATGTGCCACTGCACCTGGCTACAAATCCAACTTTAAAGAGTTTTTTTCAAAACCTTTGAAAACCATAAAAAGAATTGAAACAAATTTTTAGTGTGAAGAAGAATGCTGATGTGAAGCCAGGCCTGAAAGATAGAGACAGGAAGAATGAAAATGAGATCCTAATATCACAGAAATTATAGCTCATGTCCAAACCAACAAGAGATACTTTTTCTTTCAAATGCCCTAGTTGTTGCTATTGTCTTTTGTTTTCTAAGGTGACACAGTGAAGGAAGTTTTTTACGTCTCTGACTTGTAGGAGACAATAGTGTTAGCTCTGTTTCTGAGGATTGGAGCACGAAACTGAGAACTTTAAAGAAAAAGACTATGTCTTTCAGCTTTGTTTCTTCAACATGGCTACAGTGTCTGTTACATGCTATATACAATAATTAGTAAATAATGTATGAGATAAGCGTGGAAGACTAGCTAGAGCTTTTCCTTTTCTACTCAGTTGATTGCTAAAATCATGTTAAATTTTCTGCATTCTAAAATTCTTCAAATCATAAAATCAAGCCATTAAAATGCCTGGCACATAGTAAAGCATAATTAGTAAATAAATCGGCTCCTTCCTGAGAGGGTGCCAGTAAAATATTTCTGTAGGATGTTGTTTATTTGGGGAAATGATGCAAGGTGAATGTAATAGATGATAGGAGAGAATCTTTGTGGACTGGACCAGTAAAAGGAGGCCCCAAGAAATAAGGTGGATTTTGTAAGCAATTAAGGTTGATATTATTCATAAATGTGGAAAGGAGAAGTGAAGAAAGTCCATGTGGGAGCTTGTTGAGATGAACTACTCTAAGTCCATTAACTTATTAATTAATTTTGTCTACATTTTCTTTCTAATTCTAGTGCATGCTTAATGAGACCTGTCTTTCTTACTGCTTTTCAGGGCAATGTTGGCCCTGTGGGACCAATTGGACCTTCTGGAATTCCTGGCCCAATGGTATGCTATTTTTTAAATGGACATTTCCATAATGAATATTTCCTTTTAATCTTTCTATGATGTCAACAAATAAAACTTTTAAAATATTTTTTCAGGGCCTTTCAGGAAGTAAGGGGCTACCTGGAATCAAAGGTGATAAGGTGATTTAAATATTAACATTATCTTAGAGATAATTTCTTACCACATTTGTCTTTTTTTCTTTCAAGTAACAGAACTTATAAAATATCCTGCTTTATTTGCATGGATCTATTTCATACTATGAGATATATTAATTTGTAGAAGTGGCAAAGATAGAGAAATTATTCTTCTATGATTAATATTTACTTCATCATATTGCCAGGTGCATACTGTATATGTGATTGTGTATGAAATTGTACTCTCTAGGGGGAACAAGGCTTTGCAGGAGAGCTGGGAGAACCAGGGTATCCTGGAGACAAGGTAACTCTTAGGCCATTAGTTTTATATAAATATTTAAAAAGCATAAAGGAGGAAGTACCCATTATTTTAACCATGCATATTGTAAAGATGTGGTATCAATAGGATTTTAAATTCTTTTTTTTTTTTTTTCTTTTTTTGTGGCAGGCCCAGCCTGCCCTGGGGGTGGAGCTGGTGTGGCATATGGTGCCAGGGATCGAACCATGGCTCCTGCACTTGCCTAAGCTTGCCTCAGCAGGTGCTTTAGTCCACTGAGCTATCTCACTGGCCCTATGCTTTTAAATTCTTGCTTAAAGCATTAAGAACACTTTCATGAATGTTTTTAGTAGTTTTCAAATAGAAATACATTTGCTATTTGTGATATAACAGCTTTCTCTTCCCTCTACTGTTCTCTTAGGGCACTGTTGGTCTACCAGGACCACCAGGGATAAGAGGAAAGCCGGGACCTTCAGTAGGTTTGACTTTTTACTTTATTTCTCATTAACAGAGTACCTGCTATGTCAACGGCCTTGACACTTGTCGAAGTCAGTATGCTAGAAGTAGGATACCAACCTACAGATCTGTCCTTTTCTGTCTTCAGTTTTAGTATATAGCTCACTGTTCAAGTTTCCAGCTCACACTCCACAGCCTTCGGGACCCTCCCACACCACAACCCAAGGCCAGGTTTCTTAGAGGCCTACAGATCTTGATTATATTATTCCTCCCCAAGAACTATTACAGATAGTATTGAAATTTAGAAATGAGTTTTTGGGTCAGGGAGATAGCTCAGTAGAATAAGTGTTTCTCTGGCAAGTGCAAGGACCTGAGTTCAATCCCCGGTGCCAAAAAAAAAAAAAAAAAAGAAGAAGAAGAAGAAATGAGTTTTTAAGCCAAAAAATGTAAGGTACCTTAAATAATATTTTAATTTTTCCAAATACCAGTAGATTCCTAAATATTTCCAAATATTTTTCAAATTTCCAAATATTTTTCAAATATCACTCTGAGAAAAGCATGCCTCACTCTGTTGTGGCCCTAAGTATTCTAATGCTCTGCCCTTTTCTAACTCTAAGGCATTTAACTCAATTAGAGGGAAAAAGGTTCAGTATATTGTAGTAGATATAAAAACCCCCAAATTATAAAACTGAAATTGCTTAATTAGAATCATTTAAATAAAACATTTAAAACATGAGTCAAACATATACCTCCGATTATTAGCAATGATAACAATGATTGTAGCTAACATGTAGAGTGTCTATGACACACAAAGCGGTACTCCGGGGGATGACACATTTTAATCAATACTATGCTCCTGTGAAATCAGTACTATCATCGTTTCTATTTTGTAGTTGAAGCACCTTGAGACACAGAGTGTTCCATAGCTTATCCAAGGCTTCATTGCTGGTTGGTGGCTACCTGGGAAATTCTGAGCCCGTGTTCTTATTCACTCTGCCAAGATGTCTTAGTTTAATATCTTACGACTTTTAATACTATAACTTTTTATATCTCATAAATATAAGAGAAATTCATTCAACATGTTACCTAAGCCTGATACTAATAAAAAGATACCAATATTTTTTTTTTTTCGGCAGTACTGGGGATTGAACTCAGGACCTTGCGCTTGCCAGGCAAGCACTTATTCTACTGAGCTATCGCCTCAGCCCTGATACCAATATTATTATCTCATGCTTTGCAAGTAATTTCTTGAGAAAACTAGAGTCAAATATCATGCTTATATTAGCCAAATTGTTTTAATGTTATTTACCCTTTGATTCAGTTTATACTAATAAAATATTTTGTGGGAGGAAAAAAAAAACAGTCTTACAGATGGAGTCTTGGATTCTGGCCCCACCCTTGACACTAGACATGCTATAATTTTGGATATTTAATCACCATAATACCCAGCTCAATATATTTAAAATGAAGAGTAAGGTTGCTTGTAGCTCTATAGCTCTATGATATTTTTCTTACTTGGTAATAATTATCACCAGTATTTCTCTAGTCTAGGTTAAAATAAAGGCAGACAGCCTAATTCCATCTTTAACACACTGTCCTACTCTTTTTCCTAACACCAATCACAAGAAATCTAATGAAGTTCTTCAATGCCAGGGACCAAGAGATGCTGAAAATGGGGCTTTATATTCTTTTTTTTCCCCATAATTTTATTGAGAAACAAATAGCAATGAGATAGTTTCAAACCAAATTGGTAGAACAGTTTCAATAATTAACACATTGCATACATTCTTCCTAGTGGTTAATTGCTGTACAAGATGACCATGATATCCTATTTACAAACACCATTAGAACAAATCCCTCTATTCATTAAGAGAATGTAACTATATATCTATTCTAACCACTTTGAATACACAGATACAAAATGGACATTCATCTGTATCCCCTTTGTTTGTTAAATTCTGTTATTTGAATATTATAGGTGTGTAAACTCAGCAAAATATTCTAAAAGAGTCCAGTAGTCCATAATAGTATTGGGTCTTCCACTTGACTGGCAGTGTCAGAAATTGTTGACCTAAGTCCCCTACAGCTCAACATAACAGCATGGCTTTACTTCTTATAGTTCGTTTTTATACTTTTCTGCTGGATGGTGAAGACCAAGGTAAAGCAGGACCTATGCAACAGGAGTTGTAGCTTTTGGGCCTGACAAGGTCAGTGAAATCCCTTCAGGATTTACCTGAGATCCTGTAGCTCAGATTGTAGAACCTTTGTCAGTGCAGCCATGTGGATGAGTCATGGCCGTTGCTTGGCCAGTGTGCTCTCTGTGAAAGCCTGAGAGGATGTGTTCTCTCCATGTGACTCTCCTTAGGCACACTCTACATCATCTGCTTGTCACGACATGCCAGTTGCTGCTGTGCTGTCTCTCAGGTAGATGATTGTTTAAAAAGAAGGGAATGGTGAATGAAGGCAAGAGACAGGAAAAGGAATATTTTGGGGCTTTATATTCTTATTTTAAAACTTTTTGTAGTGTGCTAACAAAATAACGTTTTTAATATCATCAGGGATTACTCTTTTTTTTTGTTGTTCCTCGAATGCCTTCAGGCCACTATTGGCCAGCGGGAGAGTTGTGAGGTTCGAACTCCAGCAACCTGAGGCTGACAGCTTTGTGGAAGCAGCCACTTAAAGGCCTGAGCAAGGGCCAGGCCCTCAGGGATTACTCTTGCTGGGAAATAATTGACCAGTTTATTGATTATATCAAAATTTTGAAAACTACATTTGAGCCAAGAACAGGATAGGGACTCATTAATTAATATTGAGATTAACTTGTTTTTGATCTTTTACTTTATTTAAAAATTTGTACCCTTTCAATACAAAAGATATTTGACCTGGAAACCTTCCCTAGTCAGTGAGGAAGCTCCTGTTTGATGAAAAGTTGCTTATGTAGATTAATTTTTCTAGTAAGACGTAAACTCCCTTACTGTGCCAGCCCTGCCCCTGGAGCATGCTGAGAGGGCAATTGAGATTGGGCACAGTTGTATGAGCCTGTAATCCCAGCACTTGGGAAGCTGAAGACAAGAGAATCACTATGAGTCCGATCTACATAGTGAGACCTTGAAAACCCTGTACTCTGTAGACCCTGTACTAACTACATTAAAGAAAAACAAACAAACTCCTACACTCTCAGTTGTACAAGTCAGTGCCTACCTAAAGTAATTGGTTACTGTCACAGGAAAAATGATAAAAATCACGTTATTCTCTTTTATATGTTCTACTTTTGGTTTTTTATTGTCTACAATTTTGATGGTGGTATAGATTCCATCTTAGTTACTCTTTACTCATTGCTGGGACAAATACCCAATGCTCTAATTGAAGGAAAGAAAGGTTTATTAGCTCACAGTTACTAGAGATTTCAGTCCATATTCAACTGGGTCCAAGGCAGAGCAGCACATGGCAGAGGGTAAACTTTCATGGTGGTGGTAAAGAGCAAGAGCTCAAGGGAGAGGTAGCAGCAACTCAAGCAGCTAGCTTCTCTTCCCTCCTTATGTTGAAATGCACATTACCTGCCCCAGGGCAGGTGCAGCATCCACACCCACAGTAATCAATCACAAACTCCAGAAGCTGCCCCAAGACTGCATGAGACTTTGGGGGGACAACTATACACAAACCATAACAGATTTCAAATTGATCTAGGTTGCTACAAATAGAATTTTTTCCAAATATAAGAAAACCCTGATCTGGAAGCATTGTACATTCTGGAATAATAATTTTATTTTTAATAGTCAAGTAAATATGCAAAAAGTATTCAAAAAGTATAGCAAACTAACCCAAATAAATTATTGGAAAATATTTTTCCCTGTGGTGGATGAAACAAGGATAATCATTATATTCCTTACATTTTTAAACTAGACATTTCTGTCATTTATAGAGGCTCACTTAATATTACTTCATTCTCTTAGTTGAAAACTCAGTTTTTATAAGGAAAACTGACTTATAGAAAACTCGTAATTAAGTTTTAAAAAACAAAAATCACTATGGAGAACATAATTAATCCATAATTTATGTTTGTAAATATTGTATTTGGTTGTTAATCATCTCTGCTAAAAACAAAGACTATTTTCCTAGGGGCTAGTAAAGTTAGTGTCTTAATTAAATTTTGCCACTAGAGGGAGGCAATGAGAATCCCTCTCTAAGAGGTCCTTGTCATTTTTAGAATGTAAGACAATCCTGACCAGTCATCATTTTTCTTTTTATTTATTAGAAAGGATGAAGTGAGCATTTGTGTAATATTACATTACCCTTCTCGATATTTGATTGAAGTAGCATTATTATGTTGCCTTTCATATCAAGATACCTTAGCACTGAAGGAATTAAATGCATATAGGAAAATGCTTTAGTTGCTGGCAAATGGGTAGTCTTATGTTTTTATCTTGAATGTTTTGTGATTTCATCCCTATTCAAATCAAATCCGCAGTTTTTATGGAATTTAATATGAGAAAAGTGATGACGTCAATAGTTTTTCCTTTGAAAGCAAGGCAGTCCTTAGAGAGCTAACCTGGCTTCTACACTTCCCACTCTTGGGAGACTTGCAAGCCTTCTTGGGTGGCAGGCTTTGCTCTCCCTTCTCTTCCTTTTCACCTTCCTCTCTGGCCCTCACTTGACATTTTAGTATGAATATCAAAAACTGCCTTCCAAAATATTAAATCTACATCCTCAAAATTTTGTTTTATTTTTATTTTTAAAATAATATTATTGAGAAACAAATAGCAATGAGACAGTTTCAAAACCGATCAGTAGGACAGTTTCAATAATAAACACATTGCACATTGTTGTCTCGGTGGTTATTCGCTGTACAAGGTGCAGATATGACATCCCGTCCACAAACACTAATAGAACAAATCTTCTTATTCATTGAATTAAGAGAATGTAGCTGTATATCTATCCTAACTATTTTGAATATACAGATACAAAATGGTCTTTAAAGAATTACAGCAATTTAGGAAATTCAGGTATCAGCCAGGAGAGGAAGAAGGGCATAAAAAAGGAAGATTAATAATTTTTTATCTTTTTATTGTTTTTAAAAAAATTTTAAAGAGCATTCAGATTAGAATTAAAACAAAAATTTACAAGTAATATGGAATTTCACTTAGCAAAGTAATATGAATTTCACATTATTTATTGTAATATGTAGTGTTGTCTTCCAATCAGTTATTCATATTACCAGATATAGGCATGTAAAATTGGAAGACAGAAAAAAGAAATAAGCAATTTAGAAGAGAAAAAGTACAAATAATTGAAAGGAAACAAACCAAATTAAAGCACTAACAGCTTCTTTCCATAGACCAGCAAAAATGCACAGTACAGTTGTCGGAACCATCCTGCTTACATACCTAGATAAATCTCTTTCCCTACTCTGTCTCCTGTCCTTCTCAACTTAGTAACTCTTTCTTTTTGATTAAGTTCCTTCCCTTTTCCCAGTATCTATTGTGTCCTTCACATTCCATTTTTCAAACGTCGTATTGTTTCCTTAATGTGAGAACTTGAAAGAGAAAAATGGAATCTGAGACAGTATGATGTTTGCACATGTGGGTCTGATTTATTTGACTTAAGAGTATGTTCTCTAGTTGCATCCATTTACAGACAAAAGACATTTTTTCCCATAATTTTATTGAAAAACAAATAGCAATGAGACAGTTTCAAACCAAATTGGTAGGACAGTTTCAATAATTAACACATTGCATACATTCTTCCTAGTGGTTAATTGCTGTACA